GCCGGGGCTTTGAGCATCCTGAGTGTGCTTGGTGCCCCAGAATGAGCCCAGACCACCCCTCAGTTCTGTGCTGTGGAGCTGCTCCATCTGTGGCCTCAAAACACACAAAGGAAACAGCAACCTTGGCCCTGCACTTGGCATATCGACTCTGTCCTCTCAGGAACTCCATTTGCTGAGGGCGGGGAAGAAATTCTTCCCCTTTTGTCCAGATCCCACAGGGTAAGCCTGTTGCTTTCCTGTCCCCAACTTTGCATTGCTTTATTCATTCGTTAACCCGATACTCATTAAAGACTTTTTAAGTGCCAGATCTGCCCCAGGCTCTGAGGACCAGGAGTGCAGTTGGGCCCAACTGCCCTGGGCTGGTGGGGGCCGACAGTGACCTCAGCAGGAGACAGGGAAGATGCCATCCAGACAGGGTCCCTGGGGGTGGAGGACTGCCAGGAGGGCCCCGGGACCTAGTCGCCCACACTCTCCAGCGGCCTTAAGTTTGGAGTGTGGCAGCTACAAAAGAAAGCCACGTTCACCAGACGCCTCCAACCTCACTCACATTCCCCTTCCTGAGCCCACGGCCTTTAGTGCACCGTGCGCTTAACGCCGCCTTGAAAGAAATCCTGGAATGACACATTTATATTGCCTTTGGTTGTTTGTGTTCAAAGCATTTGTTAATTACACATGTTTAAATGACACTGCAATTGGTACCCTGTCGTCCAGGCCTTTCTTCACTTTTACATACACTAAGGCTCCGAAATGGCCCTGCCCGGGCTCCCAAAACAGTATATTTAAGAGGCACAGAGGCCCTGGTGTGCACGGGCACAGCGGGGACTCCCCTACAGCAGGGTGAGGTGAGCTGGGCGGGAGGCAGTCTGGAGAGCAGAAGACCGGCCTTGAAGTCCAGGTGAAGGTGTGGGGAGCCTTTCCAGGCAAGGCTTCTCAGCAGGGACGTCCCGTAGTCAGATTTGGAGTCTCTCTCCCCGAAAGTTCCTTTTCTTCTCTATAAGAAGCCCAGTTCTCCTAATAATTGGTGAGATTCCGGCGGGGGGGGGTGGCTTGGGCAAGGGAGGGGGTTCCATGGGACAGTGAGGTCACTTCTAAAGCTTCAGCCCAGAATAAAGAAATCTTTCTGCCCCAAGGGCAGACAGACCTGAACCTGAAGAGTGTCTGAGTGGAACCTTTGGACAATACCCTCTGCTGGGTCTCAGTTCCCCTCTGTGGGCCGCCCTCCAGCCCCCAAGCACAGGGCACGGGGCTCATCCATTCCTTCCTTCCTTCACTGAACAGATACGGAATAAGGACCTCCAGTACCACTCACTGGCCGGGAGTTATGCCCCATCTCCTTGAGGGCAGTCTTCACAGAATTTATCTGGAATTCTTCTGCTCAAGAAATTTGTCTATTCTCCCATTTTTACCAATATTTTCATGCTGGCTCTTTTACTTTGTAGAAATTCAAGAACCCCCATCGATGTTTGTAGGAACCTAGGAATATTTTTTTTTCAACTCCCCAAATGCATGAAATTAGCAAGGCATTAAGTTGGAGGTTAAGAGAAAAGACAATCGTTTCTTATTTTTTCGATTGTCAATACACATTAAGAAGATTTGGGAAATACCAAAACAGAAGAACCTCTCCCATCTGTCCCACTGCTCAGAAATGACTATTATTCACGTACAATGTGTTATTTTTTAAATTTTTCTTCTGTGCACGGTTTTTTGCAGATTATGCTGTCAATGTAATTTTGTTTCTTGCCTCTTCCCACCTTTTCATCATATCAAAAACATCTCTATGCTACTATACAGACTTCATAACCCGACTTTTTCAAGCGCTGCTAAATCAGTTTCCCCCACCCCACCCTGCAGCCAGACTTGTAGCACAATACCGGGCCTACAGTCCCCGTTTAGAAATTATTTGTTAACCGAATACACAACAACGTAGGCCTTCTCTTGTTTTAGAAACATAGATTATTTCAATTTCCTTGACTCTAAATAATACTGAAGACAAATAGATTATTCCCTTAGGATCGTGTCCCAGAGTGGAATTGTGGGCCAACAAGGCCCAAACTTTTCAAGATAAATGCACCAAACCAGAAATCTCCCTCCCCTTCCCTTCGGAACCACCAGCAATTGTGTCCAGGGTAATAATTTACAATTGATTAAAGAGTTTGCGGCGTGGCCCCCCCCCCCAACCTTTTCCCCCCCTTCCTCTCCCCCTTCCCTCCTGCCGAAAAGGGGGGGGAAATTATCCAAGAAGGTGAAGATGTTCTCAGACAATCATATTAACATATTCCAACAATTGCAATTTGCAAAATAGTAATCACAACTCCCGGGCTCTGGGAGGCATTAATCAAAGCGGCAGGTTTAATTCCATTTTAAATATTGATGAAACGTGCTTTGGCGGCCTCACCCTGGCGTGGCGGGGCCAGGGGAGACCGGGCGCCTCTGCGCAGAGGAGGTGGAGGGAGGGTTGGTGAGCAGCTGCCAGGAGGGGAGGCATCTGTGATTCAAATTGGTGGCTGTGCCGCCAGGTAGAGAGCGAGAGGGGTAGTGAAGAGGCTGTTAAGTCCATTGCTGTCAATTTGTAACGATCGGGGAGGGGCCTGAGGGCTGGTTTAGCACAATACCCCCAGTTTGTCTGGTTTCAGGGGTTAGCACTGAAGAGCTTGCAGCTGCACAGATTCGAATAGCCCAGAGACTTCAGAACTGTAATTATCAACCAGGCTGCTTGCGGTGTGGCAAAAGTGGGCTTCACCAGCGCTTAACTCTTTGTGTGCCGCCGCTGTCCCCACCCCCGGGCTTGACAGCCACGCGTGGATTCCCCAGCAGCCTCCCTGGGAAGAAACCGAGGCCCACCTGCGGCGCCGGGCAGTCCTCGAAGGCAAGAGCGTGCCTCTTTCCTGAGGTCACATACAGAGGAATAGCAGGGAGCAGGCAGAGGAGGCTAGCTCTGTGCAGGGCAGCCTTGCCCCCTGGCTCCCTTGTCACATCAGCCCCATCAGCCCCAGGGTGGGGGCCATCTGGCTTTGGAGTCTGATGGGTTTGAATTTTACTGGCTGTGGAGGTGAGGCAAGGCTCGTCACCTCTCTGAAAGGGAGGGAACCTCCACTACCCTCCTGGGCTATCGCCAAGACTCCACAAGACCGGTGTTTGCAAAGCATGGAGTACACAGTAGGCTGTCAGTAAGCCTCTGTCTCTCTGATCCTGGGCTGGGTGCTTTCCCAGAAGAGGAAGGGGGCAAGGGAATCTGGTTGGGAGGGCAGAATTGGGGATGACCCTCCACGTTTGAGCTCTCAGGGGGTGCCCTTGGTCTCTGGCTACTGCCACGTGTTCCTGAGGAGGACAGGTAGTCCCATACTCCCATCCCTTAGGGGGAGGCAGGTCAGGAGAAGCGACAAAAGCTGCTCCAGGGTTGTAGCCCTGAGGAGAATGGTGTGAGGAGAGGGGTTTGAGCTAGTTCTCTGTCCCTAGGGCCTGACATGGAGGTGAGGCAGGAATGAGGCAGGGACAGCTATGGCACTAGGAAAAGAACTCCGGTTTAGCTGGGAGTCATGAAGTGCAGGCATGACCCCGAGACCCTCCTCCTCCTCCACGTTCTCCACGAGTCTGGGAAGGAGAGGGCCCAACGACGTCTGTCCCGGCGTGGGAGGTGGCACCCTTGGGTGTCCTCCCCAGGAAGGGTGGATAGTAAACGTCACAAGGAAGCCACCGCAGAGTATTAGGCAGCAATAGGAAGCAAAGAATGAGATGTACATTTAGCAATAAGAATAGATCTTGAAAATGTAGTGTTGAGTGAAAGAAGTAAGACACAATGAGACTCACAGCACAATGCCATTTATGGTGGCAAATTAAAACCACATTCGCACACAAAACAACGGCACACATTTTACAGAGCTGCATGCATGTTTAGGGGCATATATCCCACCATTAAAGTGGGTCTCTGTCAGGGCTCGGGGAGGGGCTGTGTGTGGGTTTGGGGGATAATGGAGGAAAATAAGTCTGTCCCTGGAGAGATGACTGTGGTATGGTGGGACCAAAGACTGCATTTCACTCCCTCTCTCTGAGGTTTAAAGAACAGCACAAGCTTTGCAGTCTGACCAACCTGGGCTCACATTCTGGGTTCTCCTGTGCACTAATCTGTGTCTGTGGGCGGGTGACTTGACCTCTCTGAGCAGCTTGTTCCTCTGCAGAAAGACAGCATTGCTGCCCGCAGGTGCTCACGAGGGTTAAATTAAGCGAGATCAACGAGCATAGGGCCCATAGGAACATCAGTTCCTCCTCTCTATTCTCCACTGAAAGGCTCGGAGTCAACAGAGGTGTCAGGTTCCCCTGTGGAGCCTTGGATTCTTAGAAGGGTCTATAGTGAGGGGCGCCTGGGTGGCTCAGTGGGTTAAAGCCTCTGCCTTCAGCTCAGATCATCATCTCAGGGTCCTGGGATCGAGCCCCGCATCAGGCTCTCTGCTCAGCGGGGAGCCTGCTTCCCTTCCTCCCTCTCTGCCTGCCTCTCTGCCTACTTGTGATCTCTGTCTGTCAAATAAATAAATAAAATCTTTAAAAAAAAAAAAAAAAGGGTCTACAGTGGAAAACCCAGGAAGGAAACAAAGAAGAGCTGAGCTCTGGCCCCTGGCATTACCGGCAGGGCCAGTACTGGCTGCTGAGGGGGTGCTCTTTGTGGGCGTCAGATGGGGCGGATGCCCAAGCAAGTTGCTCTCTTGGTGCCCGTCGGGACTGCCCAGCTCAGAGTGGCCACGTAACCTCGTGCCTGCCTCCACGGGCGATATCCACCATCAGTAAACCCCTTTGTGTTCAATTTCCCCAAGACCAGGCATTCATAGGCAACTGGAGGATTCGGGTTTTAGTGAAAGATTTGTTCCTTCCCAGCACAGAGCTGGCCTGGCCCCCGAAGCCACACCCCTGTGCTGGAATGCAGTCCCAGGATGCTGACCGTGGGTCTCCCCGCACAGAGAAGGCCCAGCAAACCCCAGGCATGACCAGCTCTTCCTCTTCCCCTACAGATGATGACGAGCACGAGTGGATCATCAGGACTTGTCGCAAGGGCTGGGATGAGATTGTGGGTCACCGACCCAAGCTGTGAACTGTGCTGCTGGTGGAGGTTTCCTCTGCACCACTGGCCGTGGCCGGCCCTGGGGGCAGCCTGCTGTTCCAGACCCTGACTTTTAGCTCAGGAATAAAGCCTTTCTGCACTCAGTGGCCCCAAGTGTACTTTCTTGAGATGATTTCTTAGGGGATTCTCATTTCACCGGCTTCAGAATCACCCGTGAATTAGATATTTCTGGACCCTACCCTAGACATGCTAATCAGAATCTCTGGGAATGGGGTCTAGCAACGTGCACTCCCAAGTGCCACTCCCTGAAGCATTCTTATTTCCCGTATCTCTCAACATCACCCCCAAGATCATGTGTCAGCTGAAACCCAGAAGAGGAAGGAGTGACATGTTCTATGTCCACACTTGAGCCACAGACATCCTGGATCTCTGTATAACCATCCCTCCATAGAGGCTGCTGGATCCAGCAGCCCATGCTACCCCCACCTCCATGCTTTGTCCCTGGCTCACCAAAAGCTGCCAGGAAAAGGTGGGCCTTCAAAGGCTCTGACAAGGTCTGCAGGGATAGGAAACTGGCCCTCAAACTAGTGAACTGGAATTAGCATGTAGGTAGAGTTAGGAGTAGAGGGTAGCCTGGGCACACTCAGCTGCTCCATGGAGGGATCCTGGGGGTTACTCCTCCCTTCTGGGGCAACAGGTCACCTCTATAGAATGACAGAGTTGAGCTCCATACTGCGCTTGGAAAACAGAAGGCACATTCTTGTCTAAGAAGCACACACACAAACTATTTCTGAAAGATACACATATATCTAAATCAACATTTGATAAGTGGATTGGAAGAAGGGAGGGGGGAGGGGCAGAAATGGGGCCAGGGATGGTGGATGAAACAACTAATAAAATAAAGACAAGGGCCCTGCAGGGGTGAGGACGATGTACACCCAGAGCTGAGGTTTCTGAGCAACTCTGTGCAGGGCAGGGCAGGGCCATTCCACTCCCTACCTCATTGAGAATTTTGGCTTGAACCAACAGTTCTGCTGCTAAAAGAAAAGTGGCCCAGGAGCAAAAAGATGTTCTCTCTCACTCCCCAGAGGGTATGGTGGCTCTGGAACCCAGTGAGATCCAGTAGGAGACCCAGTATGTGTCAAAGCTAGAGACTTGTCTCCTTGTCTCCCTGCCTCCCATCCCATATTCCCCTTTACTTCCCCAGACCAAATTCTCCCGCATCTTCCAAACAGGCTCCCCTGCACTTCCCCTTCCAGGCTCCCCAATATCTTCTCTTTTGCACCTATTCTGTTCCGCACCCCAGCCCCCACAGCATGTCGGAGGGATCTATCTGTTATAGCATTGGCCAGACTGAGAGCTCCTCTAGGGCTGGTGGGCTGGGCCCTTCTCCAAGTCTGCAGAGCCAGCTTGGGGCCCAGCAGAAGACATGTGTTCAAGAGTGGGGACACGGGACACAGCAGCCAGCACGACTGCCTACCAAGCTTAGATGAGAGAAGAAACTTACCATCATGCCTTGGCAGCACACAGCTGACTAACTGGGAAATAGTACCAATTGCCAGGAAGGGAGACTGCACTGTCCAGCGGCCCAGAACCCTTGGGGGCCGGGGGCCGGAGTCCTTTTTTTTTTTTTTTAAAGATTTTATTTATTTATTTGACAAACAGAGATCACAAGTAGGCAGAGAGGCAGGCAGAGAGAGAGGTGGAAGGGAAGCAGGCTCCCCGCTGAGCAGAGAGCCCAATGCGGGGCTCGATCCCAGGACCCTGGGATCATGACCTGAGCTGAAGGCAGAGGCTTTAACCCACTGAGCCACCCACGTGCCCCCAGGGACCGGAGTCCTTAAGCGGAGAGCAGGAAAGAAACGGAATCCCATAGTGTTCTGGATTTAAGTGCCCGCACTTCTACTTGCATTAACTTTATTTATTACACAAATAGGACATTTACAAAGCACAACATGAAAGGTATGTAACAAAACAGACATTGGTTTTACAAAAAAAAAGTGCTTACAATTTTTTTTCCGTGTGTGTGTTTTCTCCCTCTGTTTTGTATTTAAATAAATAGTCTTGGTGGCCTGTGCGTTCCCAGGCTGCTCTAACAGTCTAGTGGAGACATGTCTGAATGGCAATGTGCTACAACCACGTGATCCACGCAAGGAACAGACCCTGGGGGGAGGCTCAAGGCAGAGTGGGTACTGGGTGACCCCCAGGCAGGGTTTGGTTGCCCACTTGGCCGTGGCCACATGTGTACCACATGGCTGTGCTTGGGGCTTCAATCATCAGGAACAAAAATCAAAGGAAGCAGGAGAGCTCCCCAGTCACTAGGGATTGGGCCCCAGCTCCTCTTATGATCACTGGCCCCCGGCACAGGGCCAGTACACGCCACTCATTGGATGAGCTCTGAACCGAGCTGCACTGACCACGTTCTGGTGCTACCCTCTCTTGGCCCTGAGTCCCCCGGAACTGCCTTCGGAAGGGAAAGGAAGCCCGTTCCCTTCTTGGGCTACACCCATGCCTCGCCCTCCTCCAGGTCCCAGAGAGCAAGAAAGGTATATAAGTTTTCGTTTTAAGCGCCAACCTCAAGCCTTTGGATTCCGAAACCTGATCCAGACTCCGAGAGTGATACAATCCATCAGCGATGTCTACCACGGGCGAAAGTGGGGACAGCAGATGCCTGCGTGCAGTGAACATGCACTCCCCACCCTAGTCTCCTTCCAGAAGCAGTGCACTGGGCTAACCAAAGCAGGAGGGAGGACTTGGGCTAGAACAGGCTTACTAGCAGCCTCTGGTGGGAAATGCATCAGGACACCAAGTAATTCTGAAATTACAGGATACGCTTGGGACAAATGGGCGTCCCCTGAAAACATAAATCATGGTCTTGTGCAGCCCAAGCCCTTTTGTTTGGGGTGGAAGAGTTGCAGCAGAATAGGGTGGATGTGAGCACAGCTGTGTCTGGCCTCCGCTTTCCTGAGGGGGTGGGAATGGCTCTGTGCAGGGCTGGTGGGGAAGCCCCCACGTGCCCCCCTGGAATCCTGGGCTTGGCACAATCACTATGCAGCATGTACCCTCTCTCTACTCAGACCTGGGTCCAGAATGAGCATCCCTACTGCCATTTCCCTGGGCTCTGTTTCTCCAGCTCCCCCTCCACGATGGCCCCTCCAAGGAAGACGTGGCCCAACCAACACTATCAGGAGTCAGCAAGTGGCCACCAATGCTACCCTGCATAAGTGTTCAGAAATGCCATTATGTGTATCAAACACCATCTCCGCCACGTCTCCTCTATATATGCTGGATAACTAGGTAGGAACAGAGTCTCCCCCCATAGACACACCCCACATCTTCTCTTTCGTCTCCTTAAAATAGCCGATGCCTCCCCCCACCAGCCCAGCGAGCCATAGCCTTCTCCCGTGGGAGTCCCAGCCGCACCCCCCGCCCCAGCCCCTGCCTATCCCCCACCTCTTGGTCTGGGCAGGCCTCCATCTCTGCCCTGTTGGGCCTCTCAGTGTTGGTCAGTGCCTCTTCTCTCTCTGAATTAACTTGACATAACCAGACAGATGGAAATGATAAAATTAGAACATAGCTTTCCTTTGGGGACATCCCACAAACACTGTAGAGTTTTCCAGACAAAAGCAACAGAGTGGATAACATTGGGGGTTGTCGGCTATTCAGAATTCAGAGATGGTTGCAAGGAAGTAGTAAAGAAAGGCCAATACGGGAAGAAAGAAAACCTGTAAATTAGAAGGCTGTTGGCGTTGCACGATTCGATTTGGCCTTTTGCTATTGAAATCAGCTGAAGTTGAAGATGACTCCTGTCTAGATGGAAACAGGCCAGTTGTTTTCACCCTGATTCCAGATTTCAGGGAGCTCTGCCTTCCCAGAGGAGGACCCCGCAAGTGCTCTTGGCAGGTTCTGGATGTCAGCAGGAGGAGGGAAGGCCAGGCCCCAGGGCCCGGCTGGTGGCGGTCAGGAAGGCGGGGGACGGTGGGTACGGAGCGGGTGGATCCCTGGCAGTGGCTCGGATACCGGCTTTCAGCGGCTGCGGGGTGGTGGTGGGGTGCCCGCGGACAGAGGCACCAGGGCCCGCGGCATCAGTACTGAAAAAGGATGACCTGCAAGAGGAGGGCGCGGGAGGCGGCTGAGTCCGGGCCCTGCCCCACCGGGCATCGCCCCCCCCCACAGAGGTCCTCAAACACATAGAGAATGCGGGTTGCTCAGGGCCCAGATCTGGGTTCAAATCCTAGCTCCAACACTTATTTGCTGTGAGACCCTGGGCCACTCACTGCACCTCTCTGAGCCTGTTTCCTCATCTGGAGAACAGGGGTGACAAAAGCTCTCTCTCGGAAGGAGGAGGCTTCAGTGAGATCAGAGAGCAGCAAGACTTGTCTGCGGGGCACTGTGTCCGGTGCCCAGCACCGTGGGAAGGGCCTCACTTATGTTATGGGATGAAAACCTCAGCCCTGTGAGGGTGCCCCACGATTATGCCCATTTCACAGGGAGGGTGCTGAGGCCCAGAGAGGTGAAAATCAGTATGCCCAGGATCCCACAACGAGAAAGAGGTGGACCCAGGCCTGGCCCAAGACCAAGCTCTCTGCGTTGTAACACATCGCCTCTGCCTCTGCGAGCCATGGGGACAGTAGTCGTAGACGCTCACCACGCCCTGGGCAACGGGCCAAGCACTTCACTGGATCTTCATGAAGCCCAAAGGCAGTCAGGTGCCTGACACACGTGGGTGATCAGGAACCGCCTGCCCCTTTCCCTCGCCCTCTTCCACCTCAAGCACTGGCCTGACCTCTCATTGTCCCTGCACCCCCACTCCCGTGCACAGCCAGCTCCCTGCAGGGCAGGTCAAGGATTATGGGCCGGCTGGTCGGCGGGAGGTGCCTCGTCACAGTAACATTGTCAGGGTGATCCGGGGACATCCAGCGGGCATGGCTATTTGGCTGTTCCATTTTCGGATCGGGAACGTCCCTTGCCCAGAGTGTTTACTATGAAGAGGAGCTGCAGGAAGTAACGGTGACGATGTCTGTAGCAGAATCATGATAACCCGCCTCTAGGGAGCCTGTTCTGCGGCCTAAGGGCTGTGCTCAACGCTTCCCACGCGTCGCTGCACTGACTCGCAGCAACAGCCTTCGGTGGTGGCAACTGTTATTATCCCCCTGCTGTGGGCGTGGGAATGGGGGCTCAGAGAAGCAGACTGTGGATTCGGAGTCAGCCTGACACCAGCGCTCACACACTACTGTCTCCCCCAGCCCGGGCAGTGCTCTTCTCTGACCACTGGGAGGCCTGGCTTTGGTCCCTTGCGGAGAGAAGCTTTCTCAGGAGAGGTAAGACCCCACCCTCTCAGGTAAGATCCTACCCTCTGCGGGCCTCAGTCTCTCCGTCTAATCCATGATAAGATGGCCCTGATTTCTAAGGGCTTTCCAAGCTCTGGAACTGTGGAATCAGGGGACATGACCAAGGAGAAAGGCAGTTCTGGAAACTCTCAGGCACGTGTAGCCAAATGACGATGTGGCAGAGTCAGGGGGTGCTCCCTGCCAATGCTCAGAGTGCTGTCCTCCTGGCCACACCAGGGCTGGTGCTGAGTGGGTTCTGAGCCTGCCGTGCGGGGTACTGAGTCTCCTCATGACTCGGCCACACAAGCCTGGAGGGATTTGGGAGAAAGTCCATACACTCTTGGACTGATCACACACCGCCCACCGGGTCGCGTGGGTTTGGCAAGAGGTGGACAGAAAAGGTCCCCAGGAGCTGGCAGGAAGAACTGACAGTGAGAAGGTGGGAGGTCATGAAGGAGGGAGAGACTTTTTTTTTTCTTTGCAAAGTTGCTGGATGTTAAGTTGGGGAGAAAACTCTTGCTAGGCAGCCAAACCCAGGGGCCAGAAACCTTCTCCAGCAAAAGCTTTCAGACCCGAGCCTGGCTCATCCTTCAGACTGAACCAGACGTAACCACAAGCTTAGCTGAGTAACCAGGAGACAAGGCTCGGCTCCAAGTGCTGAGCCCAGCCCGAAACATTTCTGAGGCTCCCCCCGTGCTGCAGATAGAGCCTAAGCCCCTCGCTCCATGGTCCAGGCTCTTCGTGGTATGACCCCTGCCACCTCATTGGGCCTCGGTCATGTTAATCACCCCGTGGTCCCTCAGACCCAGGCTCCTCTCTGCCTCTGGACCTTTGCACATGCTCTTCTCTTGACATGGAACACCCTTCTTGCCATTCCCTGCTTCTCCCTGAGAGCTCAGGGCCCCTTCTTCTGGGTCTTCCAAGGCCATGTTCATCCCTCACTTCAATTGCTCTGTCACGCTGCTCACCTCCTGCTCTGAGCCACATGCTCCTTGAGGACAGGGACAGTGCCAGCGTGCCTCTTCTGGCCCTGTGCCAAGTGACAGCACAAGTGCCCCTCAGAGGAGAGTGGCAGCTCCAAGGCGGGCAGTCCTGGGATGGAGGCCAGCTCTACCCACACTCACGGTGTGGCACTGGTGAGCTGCTGCTCTGAGCCTCAGTCTCCTTATCTTTACCTTGAGGATGGCCATCCCCACACCCACAAACATCAATCAAAGTACGGAAAGCATGTGCTGGGACTGGAGGCTTTGCTGGAGCAACATCAGCTCTTGCTGGGAGTGGGGCAATCTTGGGGGGTGTTCCTGGGACGCACTCCCCCGCCCCCCCCCAGATCTGTGGGCTTTTGTACTGCACGCTGCTGTTCACTTCTCAATCCACCTGAGCCACCAGGTTGTCCGCACCATATCCCAGCCCCATGGCGCCCAGCGCACAGCCGGGCACCCAGCAGGGGCTCATTCAGGATTAGCAGAGGTGCCCTGCGGGAGTGGCTCCCCACTCCAGGCCTCCCCAGCAGACTCTATAGAGGGGAGGCTGGGGAATCTGCTTCTGTACAAGCTTCCCAGGTGATTCTGAGGCACGCCAAGGCTGGGCTCTGCTGGCCTGGAAGGTCCCTGGAGGCCCTTCCAGCTGGAAGGAACTGGCCCAGTCTTCCTGGCCCACCACACCTGCTGACTCCTGGGGCTCCCTGCCTCCCTGAGGCCTGCTACAGCAATGTCTCCAGAAGAGGCCTCCATTCAATAAAACTAGAAAAATAAAATAAAATAAAATAACACAAAATAAATTAAAATAAAACAGGGGTCCCAGGCTGGCTCAGTGGGTAAAGCGTGAGACCCTTGATCTCGGGGTTGTGAGTTCGAGCCCTGTGCTGGGTATAGAGATGACTTAAAAAATAAAATCCTTAAAAGCAAATAAATAAAATAAGTAAAATAAAATTCAAAAAGAAGCCTCCAGGGCCTCCCTGCGCCCCAGAACAAAGTACAGACTCCTCCGCCTTGCAGCCCTGAGTCCCCCCTCCTTGCACTGCTCCTCTCAAGCCTGTGCCCCAGCGACGTTGAACTGCTCAGGGCTCCCCAAGAGCCAGGGTGGCTCGTGCTCTCCCTGATGAACTCTGGCTCAGCCTTCAGGCCTGAGCACAGACGTTGCCCTCCTCCAGAGACTCCTCCTCGTGCTTCTCCTGAGCTGGGCCCCGACTCTCCAGCTCCATGGGCTACCCCATCAGTTTCCTCACACTGTAGTGCTTCTGCCATGTCTCCTCCTCCAGCCTGTGGCCCCCACAGAGTGGGAACCCTGCTCTCCTCACCTCTGTGTTCCTGGCCACTGACTCGGGCTGCCAAGCACAGTCAGTACATAGCAAATGTTAGTGGAGTGGATGAGGGGAGTACACAGGTTCCCATCCAGGTTCTGGGACCTGCAGCAAGCTGTGCCTCAATTTCCCCACTTCTAAAACGAGGGGCTGTCCTAGGACAGAGGCCTGCTAGGCTCACTGAGAGGCGTCTCAGCACAGAGAGGGAACTGGGGTCCTATACACACTGTGGTTTCATCTAGAGCAGCTCTACTTACTTTTATCTGTTTTATGGGTTCTGGAAAAAAATTTTTTTAAAGGTTCCGGTGCTTAGAAACAAAGCTTTCAGGCCACTGGCCTGGGGGATGTCTAAGCAGCCTTCTGTATGTTCAGACCTGATGCTTGAGATAACCAGAGATCCCGCTTCCACAAAGGAGGCCCTGCCAGCTGACCAAAGTCCCCTGCTGCCCTGTTATCCCAGGGGTCCCCCCTGATACGGGTGCTCACTCAACAGACAGGGATAAAAGTGAGGAAGGAGAAAGAACAGGTGACAGGGTGGGATGCAGAGTGGTGTGTCATAGAAGCCTTTCCTGGAACCACAAAATGTGAGCAAAGTAACTAAATTCACAAATCTGGGGAAAAAAAAAAAAGAGGCAAAGTATTGGTGGAGGCCTAGAAGGAGGCCTGTGGAGGGGCTGGGCCCATAGAACACGCGGCTCAAGTACCTGCTCTGGGGGCCAGGTGGGGGCTGAAGGATTCTGGCAGAGGGGGTCTGCCACAGAGTGGCGTGGTGCCTGCCAGAAACCCATCCCTGGCCGGACAACTCTCCCCCACCACACCCAGCGGGCTCCATTTACCTTCTCACCCCGGTTGGAGAGCGGCCCATCCATGTCGGCTTTGAGGTGGACGGGGGGTGCGGTGTAAGGCAGCCGGCAGTGCACCTGCCCGCACTGTACCTGACCTGTGGAGGAGAGGACGCCTTGGAGACCATCCCGCAGCCTCCACGCACAAGCCCATGCACCCCATGCTCAGCAAGCTGGAGCCCTGGGACCAGTTTCACTTTGACCATGTACTGGCTGTGCATGGCCTTGGGCAAAACTTCAACAGAGTTGGTTGTAATGCTTGGTGTAAAAAGCTTTACAGTCTATTAAGTGCTATGTGATAACTGTCCAGCTCACTGACAAACACTCCTAAACTAATATGTAATTCAACACCTACATACCAAGCTCTACCCCATTACTAGTCTCCCCTCTTAATGCCCTCTCCCTTCTTATCTCCCAGGTATCACTCAGGCTTTACCCTATGCCTCCTAGAGGACCCTCCACTTGTATGTCACCTTAATGATGCTGTCTCTGGCCACCCTATTTATAACTGCAGCCCAACACCAACAACACTCACCCCTACCCTCCCTGGCCTCCTTCCCAGCTTTATTTTTCCTCCTTCGCACTTGCCATCATCTGACTTGCGGTACATTTTTACTGTTGACTTGTCATTGTCTGTCTTTGCCAACTAGAATATAAGCTGTAATGAGGGCCAGAATTTTTGTCTGTTTTCCAGACTCTAGATCTTTATGGATTTCCAGCACCTGGAATGAGGCCTGACACCTAGCAGGTACTCGCTGAATATCAGTTGTGTGAATCTCTGTACCTTATTCCAACATCTAAAATGGTGGGGGAAGTTCCATCCTTGTATCTGACCCAAATCTCTCATGTTTCAGGGCTTTGCCACCACAGGGGAGAAGTCCGTGGCTTCTCTTGTCCCTACCCTTCTTTCTCTCTGGTCACGTGGTCCCAAGGCAGAGCCCTGTACAGTACAGAGACTTATAATTAATATGTAACTTAGGACAAGTCACTGTGCCTCTCTGAGCTACTGTTCCCTCATCGGTAGAATAAAGCAATTGTATAAGATTGGGGATTCTTTTTTTTTTTTTTAAGATTTTATTTATTTATTTGGCAGACAGAGAGCACAAGTAGGCACAGAGGCAGGCAGAGAGAGAGAGAGGGAAGCAGGCTTCCTGCTGAGGACCCTGGGATCATGACCCAGGCTGAAGGCAGAGGCTTTAACCCACTGAGCCACCCAGGTGCCCCAAGATTGGGGATTCTTATCCTGGGGCATTCTAGAAGTCCATGAACAGTCTGGGATTACACTGAAAACTATGTGTGTGTGTGCATCTTTCTGGGGTCTCGTTCCAAAGCTTTTTATCAGCTTCCAAGCTCGGAGGCCCCAGGGAACTCAGAATTGTGTGACTTTTGTTAACTTCCAAGCAAACTGCTGAGGTGTCCTTCAGTCCTGCAGCAAGAGGTGACAGGTCCAAACACCCTTGACACTTCCAGCCCTATGCTGGGTTTCATCTCAAAGTAAAAAGGAGACGGCACCCTCAGCCCCTTCTCTGAGCATCCAAGACATATCTAGCCTTCATTGACAAAGTCTGTGAGGGGAGTCCCGGGGCCTGACTCTGGATGCCATGGCCCCACTTCCAAAGAGGTCACCAAGACCCATTGCCAGCTTCACAGCAAGTGCTAGCTGGCAGCCCAGACTCCAGGTATCTAGAGAGTCCCTAGTCCTTGGTGCCTTTAACAGATGATCTAGATAGTTCTGTGGACTCTGTGCAACCTGAACATAAATCATTGTTTAGAAAAGAAAGGAAGAAAAGTCCCTCCTCCAGAGCAGATGGTTCAGAAATGACACAGTGCAAAGAGACATGGTTTCCAACTGGCTGCCTGGTGCCATAGGCAGGATTCCACACCCCCAGCTGTGCCAGCCAGGACCACCACCACCACCACTAGGAGAGCAGCTAGGACTTCCCCCAATGGACTGAATGCTGGAGACTTGACGTCAGCGATCTTATCTGATGCTCTGAGAGAAGCCTTATCATCCTCATTTTTACAGATGAGGAAATTGGTTTTCACGGAAGCTAAGAAGCTTGCCTGATGTCCCACAGCTAGTGAGTGGCACGGCTGGGATCAGAAGCCCGACAGTCTCACCCTAAAGCCCACAGTCAATCATTAAGGAATACCGGCTCCCATTACTGAGGACCCTGGGTTTCCTCATCTGTGCAATGAGACAGTGATAGCTAATGATTACACACGTGCTTAGTATAGTGTCTGGCCCATGGCAGGGGCTCAGTGAACAGCAGGGCTCTCTCTCTGATGCTCCCCATTCTCTTTCCCTTTTACTTGGAGCCGGAGAAGGGAGGATTTATGTTTGTGGGTATGTTGTGGCCACTTCTATTTTTCTGGTCACACCCAGCTTTGAGGAAACAAACAAGTTCAAAGGGAATGAAGATCCGTAATAAGCACCTGCTTGTTAGCAGACATAGAGAACGTCCATTCCCCCAGAAATTCACAAGGCCACTTCCCTCTCTCCTCCAGGTTCCTGCTCAAAGGTCACTCCACCAGACCCGATCCATCACCCCCATGGCGTCTCCAGTCCCCACTGACATGCCATCTCCTCCCTCCTTTATTAGCTGATTTTCTCTCCACCCACGTCCCACTCTGGAATGTGAACCCCAAGAGCACACAAATTTGGGTCTGTTTTGTTCTCTGTTGTATTCCAGTGCTTAGGACAGAAGGCACTCAGAGAGTAGTTACTGAACACATGAGTGGATTCTCACAACCCTGTGAAATAGGCATTATTAATGTCCCAGTTTGCAGCTGAGGATACTGAGATTCAAGGAGGGTAGGTCATTTGCCCTCAGCCTCCTAGCTCTGAATACTCCTGCCACACTGGCTGCCTTCTGCAACCCCAAAAGCACCCATGCCACGGTGCTTTCTGGGCTATGGCCTGCCTGCATTCAGCTCCTCTGCTGCTGGGCACTCCTACATCCCCTCTCCTTGTGTCTCACTAATTCCTATCCATCCTTCCAGTCTCTGCTTGCTGAAAGGAGGCATCTCCACAAGCTTGCGTCCAGCTCCTTTCCTACAGCAATCATCAGGATTAAAACCATGCTCTATCTATCTGGTTATCGTGCCACGTTCTCTCTCCCACCAAAACGCAGGTTCCACCAAAACGCAAAGGCTTTCCCCATCCTGTTCTCTCCCTAGTCCCTGGGCGCTGGCACACACAGTGGGTACTTGGAAAGTATTTTTTGAGTGGCCAAATGGCTTTTCTCTACAAAGGGTCCCGTCTCCCTAAGGCAAAGACCGGGACCTTAGCCCCTCTCTCCAACCCCTAGGTCCGAGGGACTGCAGACCCGACGTCTTCACCCACCAGGCTCCTAAAGTCCGCCCCACGCCTCCGCCTCACGCGCGCTGCTGCGCGTGCCCCCCCGCCACAGACCCAGCAGCCTTGGTGGTGCGCTCACTTACTCTCAATGTAGCCGTGCAGGGTGACCATGCGCGCCCGCTCCGGGCTGCTGAACGGGGAGTAGTGGATGTCCTCGGACAGGGCGGAAGGGAGGCGGGACGGCGGCGCCCCGGAGGGCGGCACGGGATGCTGTGGTGTGTGCTTTTTATGACGCGCCCGGCAGTTTTGAAACCACACCTGGAACGACAGCCTCAGCAGCCTCAGCCTCGCGGAAAAGGGTCGGACGCGCCGCTGGGAGACACCACGCGGGACTACTTCGTCGCCTCCCGCGTAAGGGCGGCCACGTGCGCCCGGGCCTGTGGCTGGCTAGCCCTGCACACGCTGGTGGGCCCGCCCCGGGCCCCTAGGCCTCGCCCCCGCCCCCAAGGCCCCGCCCTCCCTCGGCCCCACCTGGATGACCCTCCGGCTGAGGCCCGTCATGTCCGCCAGCTTCTGCAGCGTCTGTGCGTCGGGGTTGTTGTCCTGCGCGAACTGCGCCTGCATAACCTGCGGGGAGCAAAAGGGGCAGTGAGGCAGGAACGCGCGGAGGTCTCCTAGACCCCGGCCCAATCAGAGAGGATCCGGCCCGGAGGCCACGCCCCAGACAGCTACGGCCCCTCCCCACCACCCTCGGGTCCGGGCAGAAGGGGCGGAGCCAGAGGCCTTCTCGGCCCCGCCTACCTCAAGGGCCCGCCCCCACCTTCGGCCCCTCGCGGCCCGCCCGGGTACCTGCAACTGCTCGGCGGTGAAGGATGTCCGCGCGCGCTTGGCTGGTTTGGGCTGACTGTCCTGTTCCGAGGGCACTGCCCCCTCCAGCGTGAGGCCGTTCCCTGGGGGTGACAGAAGTGGCTGACCACGCGTCCCCATCTCTTCTAGTGGCATCCTGGAAAGGACGGGGGTGGGGGCAGCTGGTCCCTGGAAGGGTCAGGAGTGGAGTTGGCTGGGAGCGGGGTTCCCAGAGTCCTAGTCCCTGAGCTCTGTCTTTAGAAAAGGGGCTGTCATTTCTGAGCGTTCTCTAAGTACCAGACGCTGCTCTTTCGGTGTGTCCTGTGTGTCTGGCTCACGGCCCCATTTTACAGCAGAGGAAAGAAACCGAGGCTCAAAGAGAAGAAAGTCCTGACCCAGGACCTTTCTCAGCTAGTAGCTTACAGCTGACAGACCCTAGTGGCCCAGACTGGACTCCCTCTTAGCTGAACTGGGGAAACCAAAGGCTGGTGGAGGTAAGATGCGAGCAGGTTACAGAACTGTGATTCTAATTTTGTAAAATATATGGAAGCAAAAAGGTTGAAAGGATACACACCAAGGTGCTCGCATTTATGCATCTAATGGAGACACTACTTTCAATATTCCTGTAACTGCTGAGGTTTTTACAGCAATCATATATCACTTTATTTCTCTAACATTTAATTTTATTAACTGGAGCATATGTTAGCCATTCTCTTTCCAGTTCTATGACTTTCACAATCACACTAAATACATTCCCATTTTATTTTTAATACCTCATTTTTCTAGGTAATAAAGACTTCTTATCAAAAACTTAGAAAATTCAGATAAACACAAAGAAGAAAACCAAATCACCAGTAATTCCACCACTGTTCACAATTAGTTGTAATTTTTTTTTAAATTATGAAAACACTATGTTGGGGGGGAAACCAAACCAACATGCCACCATATATACAGAGAAAAAAAAATCTGGGAAGATAGATACTAAAATATGAGAGGTGGTAACGTTTAGAGTGATCTTTATCTTCTTCTTTTTGCTTAACCATCTTTTCTAAGTGTTCTATGATGGAAGGATGTGTGTTTAAGCTTAAAAGTAAAAACAGCAGGGGTGCCTGGCTGGCTCAGTTGATAGAGCATGTGACTTTTAATCTATGGGGTCTTGAGTTCAAACTCCACCTTAGGCATGGAGCCTACTTAAAATTTAAAATATAATAAATAAAGAGTAAAACAGTATCAAAACTGAGGGCTGGTCAGTAAAGGAGATCTAAGGCCCCAAGCCTTCAAGCTGCCCTACATGGTTAAGTGTCTGGAGTGGCACAGAGGTGAGAGCAAGAGTTGTAACTAGCAAGGGTGTGGCTAGGGGTAGTCCTGATTGGTCCAGATAGGAAGGAGGTCACTGATGGACCATGGTATAGGGGGAGCCCTGACTCCTGGGATTCCATCCCAGGGCCACTGCTGACTTGGCCACTACGGCAGGTAACTTCATACAACCCCAGCCTTACTTGCTCCCCACATAGGCCACTTTTAGTCCTGATCCCGGCAGGAGAAAGTGATGGCCTTGGTGTGGCCATGGTCTGGAACACCCTAGAAATTCCTGACAAGTTCCCAGCCTAGAAACTGAGGCAGGGTGGTCCATACACTTCCCGAGAGGCCCTGAGGATGGAATAGACACTTTGTGGTATTAATGTCCCCTAGGAGAGCAGGCAGGACAAGGATTGGTGTGCCATTTTCTCAATGGGAACATGACACTTATAGGGACAGCCACATCCCAGCAGCCTCCCTTGTTTAATGAAGTCTAATTAAGGGTCCCTGGAGCTTGGGAATAGGGTGATATGCTATGGTGGTTAAAAGCCTGGGCTTTGGAGTCAAGCCAGCCTGCTAATGTGTAACCTTTGGCAAATCCATACTGCAGATAACCTCTGCCTGTTTCCTCGTCTGTAAAATGGGGACACATCAGCTACTTCTTAGGGTTTTTGTAAGGATTATACAAAATAATCCACATTACGGGCAATTAGCAGCTTCCAAAGACCCAGACAGGAAAATGATGGAAAGGATCCCTGACTCTGCCCTCAGCCCAACCTCTATTCCCACCCCTTTCTAACCACCAACCCCCGTGACTCAGCCCTCACAGTCCCTGGAAGATGTGGACCCTGTCTGCTGGCCTATGTGTCTTAGGGAGACACAAGGGATCTTTCTCGTTGACAGAGTATCTTGCACAGATGGGGAGACTGACGCCCAGAGAAGAAAGCTTCACACATTTCCCAGAAGCAAAACAGAGCTCACATCTCCAGACTCAAAGTCTTTTTCTTTACAGTCCAGGATGAAACCTCCACCCGCAAACCTCCGGCTTGGAGCTGCTGGCACAGCAGTTGGGAGAACAGAGTGGAATCATCTCTCCAGGACTGGCCCATGGCCAGGTCCAGGCAGCAGGAGGGGGCAAGTCCTCAGGCCAACCAGAGCTGGCCAAAGGTGGAGCAGGCTACCACATTATGAGAATCATCTCTAGGGCTCCCTTGAGTGTCTCCTAGTCATCTTGGATAAGGGGTCTGTCTTATCATTAGCTCCATTTTACAGATGAGAAAACAGTTGCAGAGGCAGACTGTGACTTCATACGCCCAAGCAAACAGTGGAGCCAAAAGCGCATGCTCCGTGGTGGTGAATCAGGCGCCTGCTCCTAGAGGAGTGTGGTCAGTTCCTGTGGTGCTGGGGTGGGGTGGGAGAGGGCTGGGCACAGAGGTGTGGCAGGGTGCTGGGTGGGGCGGGTTGGGTACCGTTCTCGGCGGCCCTCTTGAGGTTCTCGATCATGGTGTCGTAGTGGATGCGGCACAGCACCTTCTCCTCGACCAGGCCAAACTCCTCGCCCGTGGACAGCTGGCGCTTGCACGAAAAGCAAGCAAAGCAGGCCAGATGGTAGGCATTGCCGCGTGCCCGCCGCACCCAGTCGCTGGCATAGATCTGTCGACCGCACCGTGCACACTTGGTCCCAAATCGGCTGCGGGACACCGGGACAGGAAAGGGGGGTGGCGAGGCTCAGACAGGCTCCCCCTTTCCCCTCCAAATCCCACTGGCCTGCCAGCACCCTGCCTCCTGGCCTTTGCTCACCCAAATTTCCCTTTGCCTGGATCTGCCCTGTATTTCACACCCCTGCAGACACCAATGCACCTTCACGGTGAAGGTGAGCTGGTGGGTGGTTTTTACTTTCTTCTTGGTGCTTTTCTGAGTTTTCCAAGTTTTCTACAATGATCCCTTACATTTGTATGTAACTAATCTGTTCATTAAAATATATCATGTTAGGGAAAATATAATAACACAGTAACATGCAAGGTTTTGAGCACTTACCATGTGCCCAGCAAGATTCTAAGTGTTTTATGTTGATTATCCCAGTTAATCTTCATTTTGCAGATGAGGAAAATGGGGACCAGAGAGTTAGAGTAACTTGCACGTCACACAGCTCGCAAGGGTAGAAACCCAAGATGAATAAACTGTACCCCAGTAGTAGAGATACTCAGTTTCTTGGAAGCATAGACAGATATACACTTGCTGGCTTTGTGCCCTTGAGCAAAGTGTTTAACCCTCTGAGTTCTCACTTTTCCTGCCTCAAGCTGAGCTAGGTGACACTGAGAAGGCTATTGCTTAATACTCTGCGGGCTATTAAGTACCAGCCAGTCCCAAATCAAACAAACAAACAAACAAAAGGCCCAGATCAAATGTCCCCTCCCCCTTAAGCCTTTCATGTTGGGCCTTTTCCCCATCTCCCCCCACCCACCCACCCCCTGTCTTGTAGTGCGGCTGTTTGGGTATGCCTGCCTCCACTAGCGACCTTGGAGCCCCTCCAGGAAGCAGCAACAGGTTTACCCTGTCCTAGAAGTCAGCGCAAGACCTGACCCCTGAACCCCAGGGAAGGTTTGTTCGTTAAGTAGATGACTCGTCCCATGACCCTGTCCCAACCCTCAAGTTTCCTCTGGTGTGCACTCTATTTCAGGGAATGAAGCCACCATTCATCCAGCCCCTCAAGCTCAGAAACCTAAACCATGCACCCCTCCCTCTCCTCAACCCCACATCTAACCAATCACCTGGCTTTGCTGGTTCTTTTTCCTACGTATCTTTGGGATCCAGGTGCAGTGCCACAGCTGCCCTCCTAGGCCAGAATCTGCCCTCTCTGCCTGTTGCCAGCTCTACCAGGGGCCAACAACCATTCCTCCATACAGTGGCCACAGCGAAGTTTCCAGCATGCACAGTGAATCCTGTTCTGCCCTGCTTAAAATCCTTTGGTGACTCCACTCTACCCTCGGGATCTGCTCCAAGATCCTTGGAGTTCACAAAGCCCAGCAGACCACAGCCTCTTAGACTCATCTCCTCTCTCACTTTCCCCACCCCACACCCAAGCAGGAGTCCCAGGCAGCCCTGATGGAAGGTCAGTGCCAGGTCTCTATGGCCTCCTCTGAAGCGCCTTCCCCAGCCCAAGCCTTTGCACAGACAGTGCTCTTCGTACACCCTCTCCCTGAAGAGTCCCCCAGTTCCAGCACCAGGCTAGCAGCGTTCCTCAGGCGGGTTTGTAAATGTCGAATTCTTCGGCTTTCCCTCCCACCCGCTGTATTCCTGGGAGAGGACCAAGATCTGCCTCTGTGTCCCCAGGGCCGGCACACTTCCACCCAGAGGAGCACTCAGAATTGCCTGTGAATGTGCCCAGAAACCAGCCGAGCAAATGCACTCTGGTTACAGCCTCGCCTGCCTTGGCAAAGGCAAGCAACTGTCAATTAAATAAACGGTCTTGGGTTAAACTGAGTGCGGGAGCGAGGAAGCCTCGGCCCGCCCCGACTCCAGACGTAACTCCAACGCAACTGTCTCTGACCCGGAGCGTAAGGGAGCCCTGTGGCTGGCGGCGCGGTTTACTCATTCGGGCTGTGCTGCGCGCGTCTGCTGGGTGAACCGCCCCCTAAACTGAGGCGGTCCGGACCTCGGAAACTCGGCTTCCCCAGGGGACCGCCTAGCACAGCCCGCGGTTTCTTTCCCAATCCCTCAGTAAAAGGGAGAGGAAACCGCTTCGCCCACCCCTGCCTACTCTCACCGAAGGGCGGACCCGGAGTTCTGCGGCCCGACTGCCAGTACGCGGATTAGGAGTACGTATTGACCTTGGGAGACAGCGACCAGCCGAGGGCAGAGCAAGTAGAGCGATCCAGGGTCCCGGGGCGCAACGCAAGCCGCCTGAGGTGGAGACTCTGGTACCCATTTTGCACACGTGGAATCGGAGGTTCAGAGCGGACAAGTGACTTGCCCAAGACCACAAAGAGCGTGGGGCTCGGGGTTGAGGTGCGCTCTGAAGTGCAAAAAGGAACCTCGAACCTGCGTAAGCAGTTGGGCGAGAGATGATTAGGGATGTGTCCCAGGTGTATTAACTGGAAACGGGCCTGGTTTGACCCTGTCGCGAGTCCCAGCTCCCAGCCACGGGTCCCAGAAAGTCCCGTGCGTAGGGCCTGAGGCCCAGCGGATTCGGGGAGGCGGGGAGTGCCTTCCCTGGGAGAGGGGAGAGCCGGGGAGGGGAAGGTCCCGGCCTTTCAGAGGCCACATGAGAGCGACTGCGTCTCAAACCTGTGGTCTCCGTGGGCCACGACCCGTGAGCTGCGCCAGAGCACACGACCCCGGATCCTCGCGCGCGGCTGTGCGAGATTCCTTGTCCTTTGCCAGAGATGAGTCCAAGACACCCCGCGCACCCCGATCTTTCTGCTCCACACGACCGATCCGCGGGCGCCTTCTGCGCCTACGCTGTACGTCTTACATTCCTTGCTCCCCAGCGGACCCCGCGAGTGAGCTCTCACCAACTTTCCCACCCTCCACGCGTCACCCCAAATGATAAAAGCTGTCCCAGCCCTAGGATCTCCCCGCGCTCGCCGTGGTTCGTCCCAGTCAACGAAATCGCCTTCGCGATGGGTCCTTGGATGGGAGTGAGGGGGTCATTATACAGTTTTGGATGAGTTTGAGGGCCGCTCCTGAAACGTATCCTCCACCCAGGGCAGGGGTCAATGGCACAAACAAGGGGGCACGAGGAGGCTTACGGATCGAGGTTCTCTGACAAACCGATAGACTCCTTCCCAGGCGGGCTGTGAGGCCCGAGCCGCCGGATTCCGGAAGCAGCGAAATCGGCGGCGAGACAACGAAACTTCAAGAATGGGGTGTTCGGGAGCTGCGAAGGGAGCGCCAAAGGGATTAGGGGGCGCGGCTACCGCCCCTCCGCCCCCAGCCTTGTGCGCGCCCCTCCCTGGATCCCGGCGCGCGCCGTGGGGTAAAGGCGCAAAGGGCAGATACGCTTTGGGCGTGGAGAGGAGTCCGGCAGACGCTGCGCATACTGACAGCTGCTGAAAGGAGCGGGGTGCCATAGTACATCTCCTTACCCTCTCTTCCCTGAGTAGGGAACAGAGACATCTAGGTACTCCTGGTTGTGCAGAGCTGTGCGCCCTTGGCCAGGTCAAGCTCACTCTCCCGGCCCACTTCCTCTGGATACCGAGTTGGTGCTCAGCCATTATTTGTTGGATGAATGAGCCTCAACGAAAGAGCCTTTCGGAGTTTCACTACGACTCCTTTCCGCCTTATTAAGATACCCGAAGCTAAACCGAAGCTCCGAATGGGAAGACCAATGTTAGTTAGGAAGCCGGAGAGTCTGGTGCGGAAACTCAAACCAGAATTCAGGTATTTTGAGTTCAGAACACTCAGAGGATGGCCTTAGAGAGATTCTAAGAGGACAGCAAGATGGAGTGGAGGAGGAGCCTTTTCTGTTCCCTCTGTTCCTTCCTTCCTAGGCAAACTCTTAGGAGAAGCCAGAAAAAGCAGAACCAGCAATTATGAGGTTAAAATGCCCTGCGCCTCGGAGGTCCCGGGCCCGAGGCCCCTCCCCAGAACTCCTCTCTCAGCTCCCCCTACATCTGTCCCCCAACAGCTGGCTGCCGCTGGGCCGCTCTCCGCCACGGTGGGGGGCCGCTTCCCAGCTCTGAGCCTCCCTGGGGACCGTCGCTCTGGGGGAGGGGGTGGGGTTCTCCCACTGGAGCCCGCGGTTGGAGCTTGGGCTCTAGCTGGAAGGCCAGAGAAGGCTGAGGGCTTGCCCTAAGTCACATGGGCCAAGCAGGGGACAGGAACTTCAGCTGGCTGCCCGGTGGCCCAGCCCAGGACACTTTCTGAACCCCACCCGGATCAACGCCAGGAGCAGCAGTTAACCCTTTATTCCCCACTCCAACAGGCAGGAGGCAAGAGGGCCAGGGACCATGGTGACCTGATCATGGCAAAGTTGATCTAGTCACAGTCTCTGAGGAGGTCACTCCTGTCCCAGTGCTCCCAGGGCCCACCCGGAAAGAGTCCCACACCAGAGCACACAGCTGGTGATCCTTGTGTGAAGCCAATTAAACTGGGCAGGGAATCTCAGAGCCGGGGGAGAGGGGTTTTTGCCATTCCATGACCTCTCCTTGTAGAGAGCTTCTGCTGACATAATCTCACCTATAAAAGAACAGTCCTGAGTGTTTAGACACAGGGATGGTCTTGGGGATCACCCACGTTCTGCCACTTACTAGCTGTGCAACCTCCCCTCTGAGGACCTCAGTTTCCCCTCCTATAATGTGGGGATTAGGACAATGCAATAATCACAGGGTGGACCTGAGGATTCAATGAGATGGAGCCTGCCAAAGTTAACGTGGTTCCTGGCTTGAGAAAAGCTCTATAGATCCTGGGAAGCAGTAGCCTCACCCCTGCTCAGCCCCTCTTACACTCTCTCACTGAGTGACCCTGGGCTCCACATTCTTCTCCCCCAGGGCCTCCATCTCCCCAATCACACAATGGGCATGATGCTTGGTGGGTGCTGAAGGAGGAGGCACTGCAGATCAGTCCATGCCCCCGTTTTGGGGGGCAGCAGTGGCAGGTCAGTGGGTGGGAGGAAGCTGTCTGAGGCTGTGGTTGCTGAGGGCAGTGGAGATCTGAATGGCCCAGAAAGGAACACTGTCCCCACCCCACTCCCAGGACTTTTCTTCACTTCTTGGAAGAAAATAGAAAGAAAAATGGTCTTAAACAAAAAAAAAAAAAAATGAAGAAGTTAAAAGCAATATCAGATTTTCCCTGGCGGTCTGCTAGGACTCAGGGAGTGAGTTACCAGGTTACCAGGGTTACCAGGAATCTGGCTGAACCCACCAGGGCTGGTGAGGTCCCTCCTTGGAAGGAGAGTTGGAGAAACTGAAGCAGAGAGGCCGAGCAGTCTTGACTAAGATATCCCCTCCATGCTCTGCAGCCTCCCTCTCGGTGAATTTGGAGGGCCTTCCTAACTTCTAATTCTTGTGCCACCAACACCAGGTTCTGCCAAGGGAGACTGTGGATCTACAGGATGGTATCAAAGAGGGGAAAGAAGAGGTATGGAACAGAGGAGAAACCCTTCCCTGAAGGATAAGACCTGAGCCCAGAGGACCATGGAAGCCCTCTGGTGCCCCGTCCATGAGGTCTCAGCCACTTCCTTCCTCTCCCTGCCTTACTGGGAGATCTTGGTCTCCCCTAGAGCAGAATGCTCCAGTCCATATCCCACCAGACCCTTGACCTTGGGCTTCAGGAAACAGAGGGCTAGAGAAACTCAGTGCATGGCCTCTCCCTGAGCCCCAGCTCCTGAGGGCGAACTCTGCCTCCCACGTCACCATTCATGCTTTCCCCAGGAAAAGCTCCTTTGCGGCAGCCACCCAGAGCCTGGGCTGCTGCTGAGAGCCAACAGCTGTCCCTGCCTGGCGCTCCGTGGCTTTTTCTTTCCCTTCTTGTGGGTTTTATTATTTTTATTACAGGTGGGGTTGCCAGGGATGGGTTCTGCCTGCAGGGAGACCTGGCTGGCGTAGACATGATCAGGAGAGCCCACAATTCTTCCCTCGTTCCAGCCAATGGGAGCTTTTATCCCATTTTCTTAAACAAAAATCTGCTTTAGTTTTGCTTTCAGGGCTTTTGTCCCTGGAAAAGGATTAGCCTCAGAACCTGCTGCCTAGAAATGACCTGCCCCCATCTCTCCAGGCAAATCCTGCTCCTCAAACTGCCAGAGGAAATGCCATCAGAGGATTGTGCCCAGCATCCACTCTACCAGGGGTGACAATGGTGACAATGGAGACATCCATAGCACCTGCCACTTACGGAGACTCTAATGAGCCTTCCTCCCTACACTGGCCTCCTTGGCAGCTCAGAGAGACAACCCTAGAAGTAGGACACTGAGGGTAGAGAGATGTAGTCACTCGGCCAAGGTCACACAGTGATTCAGCATTGGCCTGGTAGAGCTCAATTACTGCTTGTCCCCACAACAGCTACACCCCCCCCATCCTCAACCCCACTGCAGTAGGAAGGGGGACTCCAGAGCCAGTGAAGCTCAGAACAGTGGAATCAGGATCTAAATTTTGACTAATCCTTGAAGGTCTAGCAAAACACAGCAGCCAAGGAGGCTTGGTCCAGTGTGGGCATGAGTTGAGGCTGGAGAAACAGGGAGGAGGCTACCAGGTCCACTCGTCACCCAGAGGGCCAGGAGAGGGATTGAGCCCTGCCTTACTCTGCAGAAGGAGGCCGAGGAGATATCATCCTGCTGGGTTCCTCAGCCTGGAGCCCTGTCCCTGGCTAGCTGATGAGCCCAATGAGCCCTAAAACAGCAGCTGGCCTGAATTTTGGTTGGTTTGTTTGTTTGCTTTGTTTTGTTTTTAACCAAATGAAGGCAGGCAAAGAGCGGGGAGGTGGCAAGACCGGGACCCCAACCTCCATTTCCTGCCCTGGCCAGCCAATAGTCAGATGGGACAGTGGAGAAAGACATACCCACTAGGCAGCCGATAACCTCCTGGGACGCACACATGTGGCAGTCCACATCCACAAATCCATGTTCACATCACACCCTTGGCTCCTCAATGCCAGGATGAAGGCCTTCGACAGGAATGTTCCCTCAGAGGAGAAGGGGAGGAGGAATGACAGGATTTCAGAATTCTCGCCCTGTCACCTCTGGGTCCCTGTCCAGACCTAATCTTGTCTCCACTACCTTTCCCACAGGCACACATACACATATACACACACACCAAGTCCCAACATTCACATGGAGACACACGCTCTTGACGCTCACACATAAACTAAAAGACGAATACTCATCATAAAGGAGTACACCACTGCCCTCATAGCCCTGACCTTGTTCAGGGACACAATCCTCCAGTGCCACTGCTCTGATGCAGACAACACAGACACAGAGACACCCCTTGCATGCTGAGTCCCAGGTCCTGGGAGGCAGACACGCCCTCCCCCCCATGCACATCCCAGGTGTACAACCTTTCACATCCATACACAGAAGAAGAATCCATTTCTGAAACCATGCTTCCTGTGGTTTCCCCAGAGTACTACAGCCCCAAACACTGCAGACCTCACCCTAGTCTCAAGATCCTCTCTTTCCAATGGCCAGGAGACTCAAAGCCAGAGCTAAGGGAGCAGGCATTACCTTACCACCAATTTCCTTGACTCTCAGGGGCCTTCTGGGCCAGGGGTCTTTCTAGTAAGACTGAAGCCATGACCTCTGCAGAGGCAAGCATGGGAAGGGTGTCTGTGGGCTACGCGGTCTTTCTAGGGGAGTAGCTTTCTCCACTTCCCGACAAAGCCCTTGGGAACAAGCATCCCTCCCAAGAACCAGTCCCACTCCGATCTCCCGGACTCTGTAGGCCCGGTGGCCAGGCCTCACGTCAGGTTCACGCTTCCCGCCAGGATCAGGCCAGTAGCTGCTGTGCCCCTGACCTCGCAATGACCTCGACCCCGTGACCAGGTCAGGCCTGAGCGCGCGGTTAGGAGCCGGGCTCACGCCGGCAGCGAAGACTCGGCGGCGCGCGGGGAGCATGAGCCTGGGGCAGGGCCGCGGCTCTGCGGCGCGGAGAGCCCAGCCCACGGTAATCCTACTCGGGGCGCCGGTTGCTGGGCCCGACTCTCCCACTTCCTGTCCAGGTGGCGGCTCAGAGTCAGAGCCTGGACCCGGCAGCGGCTGAAGCCCGGGACCAAAACGACCGCGGAACGGAGACTGAAACAGGCGCCCCCGCACCCAGGCAGGACCCCCGACTGGCGATGAGACACGCGAGCGACGCCGGGGTCTTAGTTGAGGCGGAGCCGGAAAGGTTGGGGCTTAGGACGAAGCGTTTGGATAACGGACAGGATCTGAGAGCTGCGAGGCTAGTGCTTGGGGCCGGACCAGACCCAGACCCACGGAGGAGTCCAGGGCAGAGCAGGAGACTGGAGCCCAGCTCTGGGACGGCGGGGAGAGACGCCTGCGCGGCTGGAGTCCGAGTGGGGTTGGAACCCAGAGCTGGCGCGCCCTGGAGGTGCAGGCGGATCTCGGCTGGGATCGGAGCGAGTCGGGGCCAGAGCCCAGGACGTCAGAGCTCGACCGTCGGAACTGGAGCCAGACACTCTGTAAGCCCCGAGACGGGGTTAGAGACGCGACCAAACCCCAGTGGGTCGCAGGAACCGGAGACGGGTGGCGGGCCGGACCTGTCCCGGCACCGGCGCGCGGCCTGGAGCTCCTCGTTCGGGGCGCGGAGAGCGGGCTGATTGAGCCCGCGCGGCGCGCAGGGAGTGAACTCGGGGTCTGGGCTTCGGCGGCTCGGGAGACCGCGCGCCGCCAGGGTGTTGTCCGCGCGCGCCGGGGGGGGCCTGCCTGCAGCGACACTGCTGGCCCAGCGGCCGCAGCCTACCTGAAGTAGTCCATCTTGCAGAAGATCTCCTTGTTCTTGATGTAGCAGCTGTTCTGCTGCCTCAGCGACGTGCGACACACGGAGCACTCGAGGCACCGCACGTGCCAGATGAGGTTGTTGACCTGGGGAGGGGGCGGAGGTGGGGGACGGCTCAGAGCGGGCCTCTTTTCAGGCCCGGCCCCATTTGCAGATACTGTAGCTGGAGGTCTGAAGGTGTGTATGACTTCCCCACTTTTCTTCTGTGACGAGGAAGTTTAGGAAGGTAGAATTACACTCTTCCCATTTTTCAGACGGAAACCCGGGGGTGCCGAGAGACTCTAAGATTTGCCCAAAGACGCGCAGTCGTAAGAACTTAGTGGACCTGCGCCGGCGTTGTGGTCCTCAGGGATGCAACCCACACCCCGCCAACAGACACGCAACACCCCGCCCCCGTCTCACCTTGAGCAGATACCGGTCCAGGATCTCAAGGCCGCAGCTGGAGCAAATGTTCTTGCCGGCGGACGGCACGGAGGAAGCGGCAGAAGGCGGTGAGCAGACAGACGGCGTGCTGGGTGTACAGGGGGAGGCCCGGCCTTCGTCCTTGTCCAGAGCGCCTGCCAGGGCCTCGGCGTCCGACTGAGCCTGCAGTCGGGGAGAGAGGGAGAACCGCGCGCTGAGCTGAGCGCCCAGCCGGGTGCCCAGCGTTGCGGCTGTCTCGGAGACAAATCTGGGGCCCCAGCGCATCAATTGACAACGAAATTCTCCCCAGACGCCGTTCCATGGACTACAGGATAGGAATGGAAGGGCCTACTGGAGAGGAAGGGACAGCCCCAACTTTTAGCCCTCGTGTCCTGGGTGCTGGGGACGGTTAAAGTCTACATTTCCGGCCAGAAAGCAGAGGCTCGGAGAGGGGCGGCGCCTTCCCGAAGTCCCCCCGCGCAGGGGCAGCGGTTCGGGGCCGGAAAGCCGGTCAAGGTCCCCAGGGCCCGCCAGCCAGCGTACGGGGGAGCGAAGGCAGGACCGAACGAACTCACCATGGCGGGCGGCGCGGTCCCTTCAAGGCAGCGGGTGGTCGCTTTGCAGCCGGACCCTGGCTGGGCCATCACCTGGGGGAGGGGGAGGGAACTCAGGCGGCGGCGGCTGCACAACTGGCTCCGCGCAGCCTGAGCCCAGCGCCTCCCTGCGCCTGTTATATAAACCGGCGCGGAACAATGAGTCTTAACTTTGTAGTGGGCATTTAAAGCCCTTCCCCACAAAAGCGGTGTCTCTCTAATGAAGCAATTTGAATTTGGATTGGATTTTTTCCCTCTCTCTCCCCCTCTCCCTGCACTTAACCCGTGGCTCTTGAAGTAATCGCTTAGTTCCCTTGCAATCCAAGCCTCTGAGGGGGAAAAAAAACACGCGCACACACACAAACTACCTGCAATTAGAAATTGTCGTGAATGCCCAAGATAAGAGGTAGCCAGAGTGTCAATTCCAACTGTCAATCAGTGAGATCCATCAGGCCGCCCAAAGAATTGCAAATTTGATTTTTTAATGGTAGTAATTAAAAATCGAATTTTTTCTCCCTCCACCCCCCCCTTCCTCGCTCCCTTCTCCTCCTCTCGACACAAAATGCAAAAAGGAGGAAAGAGAGAAAGAAAGAAAGAAAAGAAAAAGGAGATGGGTGTGTGGGGGGGGGCGTTTGAGGAAAATAAAACCCCGAGCGCTGGGAGCATCAGCCCGCCAGCCCAGCGCGCGCTGCGAAATTGATGCGGCGATATTGACACGAATTCAGGCGCCTTTCGAGGGCCAGTCCGAGGGAAACCCCGAGCAAAATGGGGGCGAGGTCCGGGGGGAAATGGGACCAAAAAGAGAAAACAGAGGCGTCCAAGAAGAGGAAAAAAGCACCCTCCAGCCCCTCGGCGCGCCCGGGACCGGCCCCGCGTCGGGATTCTCAGCGTTGCGCCAGCACAACCCCCGGCGCATCGGCGCTATCAGCGCCTATTCAGACGGACAATACCCGCCTCGCCTCCTCTTGATTCGCCTGTGTCTTTGCTAAATCGCTTTTTGAGAAATTCCTCCAACATTTGCATAATGTGTTCCCGCTTTCCGCGACCCCCCCCCCCCCCCGCGCTCGCGCGCGCTCACACACTCACATACACACACTCACAGGCGCACCCCAGAAGCCCTCCTCCCCGCGGCCGCCCACCGCTCGGCCGGGCCCTGCGGGGTCCCGGCCCCTGCCCGACGGTGGCCCGGGCCGCTCACCCACTCGCTCGCTCCCTCACCTGGTCGGCGGCGGGGCCGCCCTCGGCCGGCAGCCGGCAGCCCTCGGGCAGCGCCGGGGCGGCGTTCTCATGCTTCCAGTACATGGGCCGGGGAGCGGCGGGCTCGGCGGGCACGCAGCGCGGAGAGCCGCGCGGATAGGGGCCACGGCCGCAGCGGGAGCAGAGGCTGAAGCAGGAGCTGGAGGAGAGCGGAGGCGCCGGCCCCGCCGCCCCAGGCCCGGCCCCAGCCCCCGCCCCCGGCCCGCGCGCAGCCCCGTCCTCCCTGGCTGCTGCCGCCGCTGCCTCGGAAGAAGGTCCCGACAAACTTGGAGAGGCCCCCGCCCCCCCCTTCTCCTCCTCCTCCCCCTCCTGGTAGTCCTCCTCCTCCTCTCCCTCCTCCTTGTCCTCCTCCCCCTCCAGCTGCGGCGACGGCCGCCCTGCCGCTGGAGCCCCGCTCGGTTCAAGATGAGTCATGCGTGACCAATCCCCTCCCCGCCAAGGCAGAGCGAGACACACACAGCGAGGCAGCGACCCAGAGACACACACCAGACATATAGACACACAGAATCTCAGAGCTGCTGACACAGACTCAGACAGCTGACATACAAAGGCATCAGCCCCCCCCCCCCACCAACTTCCACTCAGCTCTCACTACCGCCCCTCCCTCCGGGGGTACCCACGGCCCTTAGGCACAGCCCCACTGCAGGTACAAGAGGGACCCGTGGTCCCACTTCGGGCGGAGATGGAGTCCATAGAAAGTTGCACATTATACTATGTTGATGTAGTTCCACTCCTGGTACATCTGTGTACGTACTGATGCCAACGATTCCCTTTTCCCATCATTTACCTGAATACAAGGCATACATACACATACGTACATACACACCTGCACAAACGGCTATGCTCCACAACAATCGAAAGTGAAAATGGCACTGAATGGGATTGGGTTGGATGGGGAATGGGGAGTTACTTGGTGTGTGTGTGTGTTTGTGTGTGTGTGTGGAGGGGGAGCAGTTGTTACCCTCAATTCTCCTGGGAGGAATTGCCTAGGCTATCCCCATTCCCTCTGGGATATGCTGAGCCATCTGGTCTAATGTACACCTCACCTTCTATGGGGTTCTACTGATAGAGAGGTAGGGAAGGCTGGGGAGCCCAGGCATGTGGCTAGGAGACACAGCCTCTAAACACACACACACACACACACACACACACACACCCCTCAGACTCAAACACTCCACAATATACACACACAAGTGGACACTCACAGCTTCCAGCCCCCTTCTCCTTACACAGACTGAACCTAGACAGACACATGTAAATACACATCACCTTTGAAAAACAAATATGCACACTCAGACTTAGATCCAACCTTCTCAACATCATGACACCCCTACCACCACCATCATGCCTACCATCACAGTCCCTAATTGCCCTCATTTACAGATGTGCACCCCCATAACTGTTTTTACACCTGTACACACACCCATACTCAAGAGAGCGCTGACACCTACAGAGATCCAGACCCACATAAAACCTCATGTCCTGTACTCAGACACCCACAGATATGCGCACACATCCCTACAGATGGCAGTTTGTAGGCGAAAACAGCATACGCGCGTCTGCAGACACAGGATTCCCGATAGTCACAGCCCCAATCAAGCACACACATGGGCACAGAGGGCAGACAAGGGTATCTGCACACCAGTGTCATACCAAAGACCCACACTTATATCCCTGAAAGACACAAGTATTGTTCCTTTACAGACACCCAGATACACAGAATCAGCCCCAGCCCCAGCAAGCGCCATCTCCCACCTCCTCCTAGTCACTGACTGTTCTCAGACACAGAAATTCAGACTGAAAAGTTTGCCTGAGTCCTAGTCTTTTATACAAAGAGCACGATTGCAATGAGAAAGCTAGGAGATGTGTGCATATTCACACGTGTGTGCACACACAGAAACACGTGCACCCTTAAACATCCACATAACCACAGATGACCCACCTCCTCCCCCTCAATTATCTCTTTGCACTGAATAAGCTCAGCTACTGTATTATACTTCCAGCCCTTGCAGCAGCCCTACAAGGAGGTTATGTTATTTTACTTATTTTTAAAAAGTAGTTTCCATGCCCACTGTGGACTCAAACTCACCACCAAGAGATCAAGGGTTGCATGCTCTTCTGACTGAGCCAGCCAGGTGCCCCTGTTTTTATATTTATTTTATAGTTGAGAAAACAAGCTTACAGGAGCCTCATCTCAGGCTGTAGCACTCAGACTCCAAAATCTAAACTCTTACCTACTATGCGGGCCTGCTCCTGAATTTGGATTAGGTGCTCAGGAAATCAAAATTGGAACAAAAGATGTTAATCTCAATAGCGAGAGAGACTCTGGGGTCAGACTATGTGATGCGAGTCGTAGCACTGCCCCTTATGATCTGGTAGGCCCCAGACAAGGTATTTAGCCCCTGGCTCAGCCTCAGCTTCCTCATCTGTGAAGTGGGGGTGATAACAGAGTCCGCTTCTTATCCTTAGGAAAATAGAGCAAATGATCCGTGTCAAAGAGTTCCCATTGTTACAGGATGGACTGGCTACATTTTCCAGGTGTTATTCTACTAGATGATAGTTTTTTTTTTAAGATTTTATTTTTTTTATTTGACAGAGAGAGAGAGAGAGATCACAGGTAGGCAGAGAGTTAGGCAGAGAGAGAGGGGGAAGCAGGCTCCCTGCTGAGCAGAGAGCCGGATGTGGGGCTCGATCCCAGGACCATGAGATCATGACCTGAGCTGAAGGCAGAGGCTTAACCCACTGAGCCACCCAGGCGCCCCATAGTTTTTGTTTCGTTGTTTTTTTTGTTTTTGTTTTTTTTAACAGGGGATGGCAGGGCATCAATCAATCAAATAATCTAATATTTTTCTGAATAACTTACCTAAGGGAGCTGCAGAGCCCTTATTCCAACCCAAGACTTGCCTGACCTCAAAAGGGACAGGAGTAAGAAATCTCTTTTCTAACAACTCCTGACTCTAGCAGAAAAGAGAGTCCATATATGAGAGACCTTGGCAAACTCAGGATCAGCAAACTTAGCGCATTCCATTGCCATACATGTTTTCTTCCTACAAGAGACTGTGGGCAAGTCACTTAGGCTCTCTAGGCCTTAGTTTCCCTACCTGCAAATGGAGGGATGACACTTATCTCTCAGGAGTGTAGTGATAGTGAACCACATATTAAAAACTAATATTTTTGAAGTGTTGCCTCCATTTCTGGCATAGTTTAAACACCCTAGGTGTAGAATGTCATACAGAGCCTGTATGTCGTATGTCGTCAGCATCATGCATGTATGATGTCATAAGCATCCTGAAGGTATGATGTGATCTAGTCCTTACCTCATTCTTTCTCCTGGTCACTAAACAAGATGTGGTCATCTCATCCTCCAAGGTGAGTTTTGCCATCCTTCTCCACCTGAGTCTAGATCCAAGGTTTGGGTTTAAAAAGAGGCTTCAAAAGTAACTGGATAAATCATGAGAGCTCTCCCCCTTCACCCCCAGCAGCAGTTTCGGCCCACTGGGGTGTAATTTTAGGAAGGTAATGTGAGCCCAGGGGAGGCTAGAGACCCAGCTTCACATTTATTTACTCTGACAGCTAAATTGGTGAGCCAGGGCGGGAAGTTAGATGAAAGCCATTTCAGAGTAAATACTAAATAGAAGATTTAAACATTCAGGTTTGACAAATGGGAAATGAGCAATGGGAAGGGACACAGGCAGTACACCCTTTCCCAGCTCAGGACCCAGTCCTCACCCCGTGACCCTCCTGGGCATTTCCCGTTTGAATAGAAGAAAGACCACAGAATGGGGTATGGACTGTATGACCTGGGCAAGCAATTTGCTCCCCTGGCCTCGTTGTCCTCATCAGTTAACTGTGTGTGTTATTTGGATCAGATCACTGGGGAAGTAATGAAAAGAGCACTAGCCTTGGAGTCAGATAGACCCTAGGTCATTCTCAGCCCAGCCACTTCCTGGCTGGGCGAACTTAGAAAAGTTGCTTAACTGGACCTCAGTTTTCTCACCTATAGGGATGGTATCAGTCTCAGAGGAGTAAATGAGATAATCAGCGTGAAAGGTCATTTTAGACGGCACATATACTGAGAATGTGGACAGCCGTAGTCACCCGGAGTCCCCTTTCACTTCTGACGTTCGCTGTGTGAGTTCAAGTCAGCAGATGATAATAAAGCACTTGTTCCCTGCTAGGCGAGGCACTGGAAACACAGAGTCAACCGTCCTGGTCCCTGCCCATGACAAGTGCAGTCTATGGGGAGAGAAGACAGCCAGCATTTGCAGTCTGACATGACAAGGGTTTCACAGTGGGGAGCACAGAAGGAGGGGTATTTCACCTGGCTTATAGGGTAGGCACGTTGGGAAAAGCGTCCTGGAGGAGTTGACCTTTGAGTGAAGTCCTAGAGAATGAGGGACTGTGACTCAGGCCAGGCTTGAGGGGAGCAGGGTCAGGATGGAGAGTGGGTGCCCAGTGAACTGTTTGCTGGGTGAGGCTGGGTAGGTTCAAGGAGCCAGATCTCGGAGGGCTGAGTGCTGGGTGGGGAGTTTGGGTTCATCTGGAAAGCTGTGCCTCTTCCAGCCTAACTGTCCAGAAAGCATCATCCATCCTGTCCCTTCAGGTGCGGTGTGGCACAGAGGCTGGGATGCTGGGTTTGGAATCGGGTAGCCTGAGCTCTGCTTGACTTTATTACATACTGGCTGTGGGAACTAAGGCAAGTGGCAAACTCTATGAGCCTCAGTTTCCTCAACCATAAACTAGGCATGAACAGAGGACCCACAGGAGCTGCGATGAGAACGGAAGCCCGAGATACATCTCCAAGTTGAAAGCTTGGCACCGGTCTGGCACCCAGCAAGCACGTGGTCACCCAGTGGGGGTCACAAAGGCACAGAAAGGGCTTATTAAGTGGTGAGTCCTCAAAGGGCTCGATGTCCCCTCCTTGGAGAACTCTGCCCTTGGCCACACTCTTTGAAGTAAATCTCTCCTATTAACCTTTTTTTCCAGCAGAGGGTAGATAAGGCTAAAGAAAAGGTTACGCTGAGATAAGCCTTGTACGACCAGCTAAAGAACCTCAACTTTAACGTATAAACTGGGAGGGGCCGTCAAAGGCTGTTATGCATGAAGATGACATGGTCAAAGTGGGGGTTTGGAAAGATGACTGAAGGAGTGGTTTGAGGATGGATTTGAAGGGGTTGAGTCCCTCACTGAGCCCTGAAGATATTGTAGTGATCTAAACGAGACCTGAGGAGGCGCTTGCAGGGACA